CCCTAGATGTTACTTTTTTTTTTTTTTTTTTGGTTTTTCGAGACAGGGTTTCTCTGTGTAGCTTTGGGCCTTTCCTGGAACTCACTTGGTAGCTCAGGCTGGCCTCGAACTCACAGAGATCCGCCTGGCTCTGCCTCCCAAGTGCTGGGAATAAAGGCGTGTGCCACCACCGCCCCGCTTAGATGTTACTTTTTAACAACCTGGTGTCTAAGCTTTTAAATATATGAGTCTATGGGGGGTGCATATTCTGATTCAATCAACCAAACTATTGGTGAGCTTGCTTTATCTGCTTTTCTATAGTTTAGAAACCCTTACACAGGAAATGATGTAGTGATATATTGTGTACTCAAATAACCTTCCTGGGGATCAGAGGACAAATCCAACCACTAGATTAGACATGAAGGCCAGACAGTGGTGACACACAACTTAATGCTATCACTTGAGAGGCAGAGATCCATCTAGATCTCTGTGAGTTGAAGACCACCCAGGAAACAGAGCCAGGCAGTGGTGGCACACACCTTTAATCCTATCTAGATATTTGTGAGTTCAAGCCTGTACTTGAAACAGAGCCAGGCAGTGGTGGCACATAACTTTAATCCCAGTACTGGGAAGCAAAGAGGCCTTTAATTCCAAGAAGTGATGTCAGGGCACAAAAAGATATGTAAGGTGTGAGGAATCAGGAACTCATGCTCTTGAGGCTGAGGATTTCATAGAGGTAACAACATGGCTGGTTTGTTCTGTTTCTCTCATCTTTGAACAGTCACCCCAATAGCTGGCTCTGGGTTTTTTATTAAGAAGACGGTTTAGCAATTAAGGTTACAGAACAGAATACCCAAAAGTCAAAATGGACCATTCATTCTTACTAATTTATAGCGGTTAGTTTACAGTTTTCATTCCACAAACCAAGCTCTGGATAAATAAACTGATAGTCAATAGTGGAAGGGCTCTTATAGGATGGCATAAATATGGAGCAAGTACCCTCAAACAATATTATACCATCAACTCTACAGGCTGATGGGTTGGGATAAGTAGATGTGGGGCACAGAGAAAATGATGACACAGAATTCTCACAGGGCCATGGCAGGGGTCTTTGTTTGTATTTTGGTTTGTATTTGGTTACTTGATTTTGAGTTGGGGTTCCAATAGGTGTCCTGGGGTAGTTTGAATTTGTGATGGTCCTGCTTCAGTCTCTCATGTAATTGGTCCTCATAATAACTATTTTGATAATGAGTATGTGTATTATCAAATGAGAAGGGTTTCTTTCCTGGCCCCACCTATTCTGTTCTCTTCCCCACCACACCATGCTCTCTAGAAAGCAGATTTCTCAGACTGGCCTGACCTACTACAGTCTCCTTCTATTCTCGGATTTTATTGCCTGCTATCACCTTTTGGTGACTATAGTAAGCTCTCCTGCCACATAGTGTTTGATATTTCTATCCTGAATTTTTAATTTGCTTTTTATTATTGTTTCATTGGTGTAGGAAACCAGCAAGTATCTAAACATACCCACAGAAAGTAACACATGCCTAAAAAGGAAACCATGTTTGATATTTAAGAGACTGTGCTCTACTCTAAGTGAAGAGGCAACGTGGACATCAATTTCAAAATCCCAAATGAGATCCTCAAAATTATTATTATTACTACCATTATTATTATTATTATTATTATTATTATTAATGTTGTTGTTGTTATGAGATACATTCTCCTGTATCCCAGGCTTGTCTTCTACTCAATCTCTAGTTAAGATTGAACCTTAATGTCGGGCTCTGCCTCCTGAGTAACAGAATTATAGGCATGTGATAAAACACCAAATTATCTGTTATTCTGAAGATAGAACCCAGGGCCTAGTACATTCTAAGCAAGTACTCTGCAAACTGAGAAATAGCTCTTTCCCTTTTTTTTCCTTTTCGAAAATCGGATCACATAATAAACCAGCCAGGTTATCTGGGAATCAAGTTTTAAGTGATGCTGGTCTTGAACTTCTGATGCTAATGCTTCCATTTCCAAAATGATTAAACTTTCTAAAAGTAATTTGAACATAGTATACCCTTTTAAATAATAGATTATAAAGATTGAATGTACTTTGGGGCTGGAGTATCAAGTTCATTTGGGAGAGTGAGTACCTGGTATCTAAGGCAGGATTTCAATGAGGAAGCAACAGAAACTCATATTAGACCCATTTTACTTGGTGATTAATATTTTCTGTAAGGATCAGAAGAGTAAGAAATCATAAAGGAAAGGCAATGATGTTCCAAAAAATAAAATGCAGAAAAGGTCTCCTGGTAAACTCAATGGAATAGATCAATTATTTAAAGTCAAGGGTTTGATATTCTGCCATTGATAAAAATAGCCAAGCAGCTTACCAGTTATCCACATGCCTACTTAAATACCCTGTGTTTCGGCCAGGCCTTGGTGGCACATTCATTTAGTCACAACACTCAGGAATTAGGAGTATGTCTGTGAATTCCAGGGCAGTATGGTCTACACAGTGAGTTCCAGGACAGCCAGAATTGTTACACAGAGAAAACCTGTCTTGGAAAAAACAAAGAAAGAAAAACAAAAGAATGAAAAACAAAAGAAAAAAAACAAGAAGCAACAAACAAACAAAAACCTGGGTTAAAGTGGGAGTATGTCAGCATTCCACTGTAGATGGTCCACAGTATTTTTCTAGGATCATACTGTAATTGTTTCTACCTGAAACATTGATAATGTCCTCAAAACACACAACACTGAAAATAGATCCATACTTATGACCTTGCATAAAATTCAACTGCATGTGGATCAAACACATCAACATACAACCACATACACTGAACCTAATAAAATAGAATGTGTGGAACAGTCTTGAATTGGTAGACACAGAAAAGGATTTCTAAACATAACAACAGTAGTACAGTCCCTAAAAGAAACAATTAATAAATGGAACCTCATGGAATTGAAAAGCATCTGTTTGGCAATGGACACCATCACAAGGACAAAGTGACAACCTACAGAAGAGGAAAAGTTTTTTGCAAACTACACACACTATAGATGGATGATATCTTAAGTAAGTAAAGAACTCAAAAAACTGGACATCAAGAAAGCAAAGTACTCAGTTAAAAATGGAGTATAGTGCTAAACAGAGAATTCAGGAAAGTGAAAAAACTACCTCCACTTCAGGATGCCTTCATCCTGTACCCACACTTCCTAATCCTCAGACTCCCAAAATGAAGATCAGAGAGCTCTGATACAGCTTAGCTCACACCCCAAATGTTCACTTCAATGAAGGAAATCATTTGCCTTTTTGGCCCTGGTATTCTCAAAGGCAGTTTTTAAATGACTTCTATGATCCTATCTACTAGGGTTAAGGCATTCTAGGATCTGGCAATGACTTTGGAGGCAAAGGAAATTGCCTAAGGGGAAACAGTAGGCTCCATCTCTTGGTCTCCTATCATGTAACACCTGCGATTGTAGGGATTTTAATTCAAACACAGGAAAGATGCTACAGTGAAGACAGACCATGAATAAAATCACACTTGGTGACTTCATCTGTAGGATTCCTCCAAATTCAGTTTGGTATGATCCTTATCTGAACAATATTTCTAGCTACAAGCCTCAAAAATCTTTACATACAGGACATCTTCATTAGTCTAAGATTTATTAAGTTACATTTAATTTTTGTGTCTTCCTCATGCTCATTTTATACAATCCTTGGAATACATCTTAACCTACTCATTATGATTCCTCGAGCTCTCTAATTACTAAACATATCTCAATGTCAACAACTGGCTTGACACATAAATCCAACAAAACGTCCTTTACCTGCCAGTCCTCTTAATAGTTAACCCCAAAGGTAGGGTCCTACACCAGTGAAGGACTGACCTTGCCACTGAGAACAAGAGCAAGAAGAGAAATAGCAAAGACGAAAGAGTTTCCTTCCTCCATGTCCTTTATACAGGCTGCCAACACAAGGTACAGCCAAGATTTAAGATGAATTCTCACATCTTAAAACATCTGACTTTAGGTGGGGCTTAATAATTTCAATGATTCAATAAAGAAAATTCCCTCAGAAGAAAAATCATTGCTTCTTAGGTTTTTGTTCATTAAACATGTTTTTTTTCCTTATCACAGTTTTTTGTTTGTTTGTTTGTTTGTTTTTCTATTTTTTTCCTGACAGGGTTTCTCTGTTTAGCTTTGGAGCCTGTCTTGGAACTCATTCTGTAGTCCGGGTTCACCTGAAACTCTCAGAGACATGCCTGCCTCTTCCTCCTGAGTTTTAAGAATAAAGGGGTGTGCCAGCATCTGCTAGCTTCTAAATGTATTTTTTTATAAAGCAAGAAGGAAAGAACAGAAAGGTGAGTGGGTAGAAAAAGGGATGAATCTTGAAGAAACATCAGTTATGGTAATATGATAAACATGTGTTGAAGTAAATTTCAAGGAATTATTAGGAATTTTTTAATGTTGATATTTACTAAAATCACAGATTGATATCATTAACTGTTAAATTGCAAAAGGTAAACTGAAATTATAAGCACATCACAAAATATTTAGAAAAAGTGAACTATTGTAGTAAAATTGCTCTTTATTTTTTTTAATACAAGTTCTCACTGTATATTCCAGGCAGGCCTTGAACTAAAACTCCTGCTGCCTCAACATTCCATTCCCTAAGGCTCTAGGACTAAACGTGTGAGCTATCACACCCAGATAAGATGTGTGACTCAGGAAACCTTATTGTGGAGGATTGTTTTGTGAGTATTGGCCATAGATTTAATTCAATCTTCTATCCAATTAGATTACTGCTATTTAGAGTGGGTGTGGTCTCTAGGGAGTATATAAGCACACTCCAGGGGCCAGCCAGGTTCATTCTTCTCTTGACCAGACAGAGTGTGTTTCCATACCTTCTGGCTCCTAGACTGCTCCATCATTGTCACCAACACAGGGTGGATCGCACCACAGAGCTGAGCTTATATTGTTGTGTCCCCAACAGACACTGCTGAGACCAGAGACTATTCTGTGGGAAAATGGAGTCAGACACCTCACAAGCCTTCCAGGAAGAACTCACCTGCTTCATCTGCCTGAGCTGCCTGACAGAGCCAGTCACCATAAGCTGCGGCCACAGCTTCTGTCGAGCCTGCCTCCAGCTTTCCTGGGAGGACACCCATCCTCCCGTCCACTGCCCTATGTGTCGGGAACCATGCCAACAGAAGGAAATGAGAACCAACGTTGTTCTGAAGAAGCTGGTGTCCATTGCCAGACAAGCCAGGCTCATGAAGGACCTGAGCTCTGAGGAGCATAAGTGTGTGACCCACAAGGAGACAAAGAGGATCTTCTGTGTTGAGAGCAGGATCTTCCTCTGTCAACTCTGCTCTAACTCCCATGAGCACAGAGGTCACAGACATTGTCCCATTGAGGCAGCAGCTGACCATCAATTGGAAAGAGTTCTGAAGCAGATGGCATCTTTATGGGAGAAGATCCAGGAAAATCAAGAGAATGTCGAGGCAGAGAACAGAACAACAACTTTGTGGATGGGCTATGTGACTCTGCGGGAAGTAATGATCAGGACAGAGTATAGGGAGCTGCATCCATTCCTCTGTAAAGAGGAAGAGAAACATATAGAGTGCATGAGAAAGGAAGGCCAATGTGTTTTAGAGAAACTGAGGAAGAATGAGGCCATGATGATCCAAAAGAGCAAAGAACTAAGAGATATGTATCAGGAGCTGATGGCAATGTCCCAGGAGCCATATGTGGTACTGCTCCAGGGTTTGGATGACATGGTCAGAAGGAGTGAGTCAATGCAGCTGAGCATGCCCCAGGGTATGCAACCTGAACTCAAGGCCCTACCCATCACTGGACTGACAGAAAGGCTCAAGCACATCCAAGTGCACATTTTCTTTGACAATGTAACCACATTCCATTACAAGATGAACCTATTTAATGTCTTGAGAGAATTTATCTTTGGACATCACCGTAAGGATACATCTGTGGATTTTGTTGGATGCTATTTGGCTTCCTGGGGATCCTTGAGCTTCAACTCAGGGAAATATTACTGGGAGGTGGATTTGCAGGGTGCTGGGGACTGGGCTGTAGGGGTCTGTACGGATTCCTGGTTAAAGAATACAAACCAAATGATTGACTATGAGGGTGCCTTTCTTCTTGTGTGTGTGAAGGAGGGTAATCATTACAGTCTCCTCACCACATTCCTAGTCTTCCGGCACTATATAGAGAGGCCACTGGGCCGAATTGGGGTGCTCCTTGATTGTGAGAATGGATGCTTAAGTTTCGTGAATGTTGCCAAGAGTTCCCTCATATATAAGTATCCCCAAGGCATGTTCAAAAACCCTGTCCAGCCTTTCTTCTCCAGTGGTCATGAAGGGAGAGGCTTTAATCCAGCACATTAGTGTTTTTGTAAATATTTCCTACTGTACTCTTATCTCTTTTATTGCTATTAAATAATAAAATACTAAAAAATGGAAAAAATTGGTTCTTTCTTTACAGACATTGTATTTGAGTGCATGTCTAAAACATGGTTCACTGTGGAGTGATCACTGGCCTAGACTAGGCCTCTGGCTACTAGAAATAGTTGTTTATCTTGAGCTATTTGGGGGGGGTGTCAGATAGTGGGATCAGGATCCATTCCTGGTGCATGAGTGGGCTTTTTGAAGTCATGTGCCTAAGGTGTGACACCTTTTGCTTCCTTGGTTCAGAGGGGAGGGCCTTGGAATGGCCACAACTGAATGTATCATGCTCTGCTGAATCGCCATGGGAGAACTTAAAATGGAGGGGATGGGAATGAGGGGTGCTCATTGGTGGGCAAGGCTGTGTTTGGGGGAGAGTGAGAAGGGCTGATCTGTGGTTGGTATGTAAAATGGATCGAAAAATTCTTAATAAAAATAATAAAAGAAAAAATAAAAGAGGATAGAGAGACATAGCCCACATTTCTAGTAATGTTACTCCATAGTTTCTGGTTTTTGTAGTTTGTTTTGTTGAGACACGGTCACACTATGTTTTCTTGGCGTTACTGGTACTCACTCATATGTAGGCCTCAAACTCAAAGATGTCCACCTGCCTCTGCCTGAGGAGTGCTGGGATTAAAAGCTTGCACCACCCGATCCAGTACAATATGAGTTGGTATTTATAAATACCTCTTCCTCTTCCTTTTCTCTGAAATTGAATATTTGACCCTGGCTGATTACTAACAAAATGCCTAGCTATTCTAATAATGTTTAAAATTCTTACAATATTATACTAATATAAATGGTATGGTAGCACTTTAAGAAGAAATAAAGAAATATAATGAATGATTTTGGTATTTAATAAAGAACCCATCACAAGAGAAAAACTTCTGTGGAATATTATTTGAAGATATGTTACATTTGTTTAAGCTGTGTAATATTTGTTTAATGATGCAAAAAATGTGTTGCTTTTGTTTAAATCTGAGATTCTGTGTTCCTTTGCCTGTCTAATATACCTGATTGGTCTAATAAAGAACTGAATGGCCAAAAGCTAGTTAAGAGAGGGATAGCTGGGGCTGCCAGTCAGAGAAAATAAATAGAGGGAGAATATGAGAAGAGAAAGGTTGTGAGAAAAGAAGAAAGGAAGGATGATGCTGAGGAGCAGCCACCCACCCATCCAGCCACACAGCCAGAAGCAGAGTAAGAGGTAAAAAAAACTTCTACAAAAACAGAAAAATGTAAAAGCCCAGCAGCAAAAGGTAGACTGGCTAATTTAAGATAAAAAAAAAAAAGCAGCTGTTCAACAAGCCCAGCTAAGGCCAGGCATTCATAAGGAAGTATATTCCTCCATATGATTATTTTGGAGCTGGGTGGCATGCCCTGGAAAGTGTAAAGAATAAAAGGAAAAAACTACAGTATATTAAAAAAGCTCTAATAAATAATGATAAAGTATTTATTAATTATGTACAAAGCACAGATCCCATCTCATATATTCTGCATGATGTATTTCAAGCAATAGATGAATGAACAAAGCATTAGGAACTGAAATTAAAGAATATTTCTCTATAAAATAAGGAAGTTACTAGGCACAAATGATGGTTGTATGCATTTGTACATGTTTGGGCAAGTGTGTGCTCACGTGTGCAGTTGCTTATGATGTGCTTGTGCTTGCATACATACAGTAGAAACTGATGCTAGAGTCTTCTCTAGTTGTCCTCCACCTTAGTTTTTGACAAAGAACCTCAAATTCAGCCTAGAAATGTTCATTGACCACTGCCTGTTAGTGAGCTCCAAATACCTTCCTATGGCTGACTCCTAGTGCTGAGACTGCATACAGAAACCACAGTGCCTCATGCTCTGGGTGCTCAGAATCCAACTCATGTCCTGATGCTTGAACAAGCATTTTACTGACCAGTCCTTCTCTCTAGGCCCTAGATGTTACTTTTTAACAACCTGGTGTCTAAGCATTTAAATATATGAGTCTATAGGGGGTGCATATTCTGATTCAATCAACCAAACTATTGGTGAGCTTGCTTTATCTACTTTTGTATAGTTTAGAAATCCTTACCCAGGAAATGATGTAGTGATATATTGTGTACTCAAATAACCTTCCTGGGGATCAGAGGACAGATCAAGCCACTAGATTAGACATGAAGGCCAGACAGTGGTGACACACAACTTAATGCTATCACTTGAGAGGTAGAGATCCATCTAGATCTCTGTGAGTTGAAGACCACCCAGGAAACAGAGCCAGGCAGTGGTGGCACACACCTTTAATCCTATCTAGATATTTGTGAGTTCAAGCCTGTACTTGAAACAGAGCCAGGCAGTGGTGGCACATAACTTTAATCCCAGTACTGGGAAGCAAAGAGGCCTTTAATTCCAAGAAGTGATGTCAGGGCACAAAAAGATATGTAAGGTGTGAGGAATCAGCAGCTCATGCTCTTGAGGCTGAGGATTTCATAGAGGTAACAACATGGCTGGTTTGTTCTGTTTCTCTCATCTTTGAACAGTCACCCCAATAGCTGGCTCTGGGTTTTCTATTAAGAAGACGGTTTAGCAATTAAGGTTACAGAACAGAATACCCAAAAGTCAAAATGGACCATTCATTCTTTCTAATTTATAGAGGTTAGTTTACAGTTTTCATTCTACAAACCAAGCTCTGGATAAATAAACTGATAGTCAATAGTGAAAGGGCTCTTATGGGATGGCATAAATATGGAGCAAGTACCCTCAAACAATATTATACCCTCAACTCTACAGGCTGATGGGTTGGGATAAGTAGATGTGGGGCACAGAGAAAATGATGACACAGAATTCTCACAGGGCCATGGCAGGGGTCTTTGTTTGTTTGTATTTTGGTTTGTATTTGGTTACTTGATTTTGAGTTGGGGTTCCAATAGGTGTCCTGGGGTAGTTTGAATTTGTGATGGTCCTGCTTCAGTCTCTCATGTAATTGGTCCTCATAATAACTACTTTGATAATGAATATGTGTATTATCAAATGAGAAGGGTTTCTTTCCTGGCCCCACCTATTCTGTTCTCTTCCCCACCACACCATGCTCTCTAGAGAGCAGATTTCTCAGACTGGCCTGAACTACTACAGTCTCCTTCAATTCTCGGGTTTTATTGCCTGCTATCACCTTTTGGTGACTATAGTAAGCTCTCCTGCCACATAGTATTTCATACTTCTATCCTGAATTTTTATTTGCTTTTTATTTATTGTCTCATTGGTGTTGGAAACCAGCAAGAATCTAAACATACCCATAGAAAGTAACACATGCCTCAAAGAGGAAACCATGCTTGATATTTAAGAGACTGTGCTCTACTCTAAGTTAAGAGGCAATGTGGATATCAAGTTCAAACTCCCAAATGAGATCCTCATAATTATTATTATTACTACTATTAGTAATTCTCATATTATTATTATTATCATTATTATTAATGTTGTTGTTGTTATGAAATACATTCTCCTGTATCCCAGGCTGTTCTTCTACTCAATCTCTAGTTAAGAGTGAACCTTAATGTCGGGCTCTGCCTCCTGAGTACTAGAATTTTGGGCATATGATACAACACCAGATTATCTGTGATACTGAAGATGGAACCCAGGGCCTAGTACATTCTAAGCAAGTACTCTGCAAACTGAGAAATAGCTCTTTCCCTTTTTTTTTTCATTTTCAAAAATGGGACCACAAAATATAGGTTATCTGGGAATCAAGTTTTAAGTGATGCTGGTCTTGAACTTCTGATGCTAATGCTTCCATTTCCACCATGATTAACCTTTATAAAAGTAATTTAACCATAGTATACCCTTTTAAATAACAAATTATCATATAAGGATTTAGTGTGCTTTGGGGCTGGAGGATCAGGTTCTTTTGGGAGAGTGAGTGCCTGGTATCTAAGGCAGGATTTCAATGAGGAAGCAACAGAAACTCATATTGGACCCATTTTACTTGGTGATTAATATTTTCTTTAAGGATCAGAAGAGTAAGAAATCACAAAGGAAAGGCAATGATGTTCCAAAAAATAAAACGCAGAAAAAGTCTCCTGGTAAAATCAATGGAATAGATCAATTATTTAAAGTCAAGGGTTTGATATTCTGCCATTGATAAAAAGAGCCAAGCAGCTTACCAGTTATCCACATGCCTACTTAAATACCCTGTGTTTAGGTCAGACCTTGGTGGCACATCAATTTGGTCACAACACTCAGGAGTTAGGAGGATGTCAGTGAGTCCAGGTCAGTATGGTCTACACAGTGAGTTCCAGGACAGTCAGAGTTGTTACACAGAGAAAATCTGTATTGAAAAAAAAAAGAGAAATAGAAAAGAAAAGAAGAAAAAAATACAAAAACAAAAACAAAAAAATCTAACAGAAAACAAAAACACAAAACAACAAACAAATAAACAGCAACAACAAAAATCTGGGTTTAAGTAGGATTATGTCAGCATTCCAGTGCAGGTGGACCACTTAATTTTTCTAGGATCATACTGTAATTGTTTCTATCTGAAACATTGATAATGTCCTCAAAACACAGAACACTGACAATAGATCCATACCAACGACGTTGCATAAAATTCAACTGCATGTGGATCAAACACATCAACAAAAAACCACATATACTGAACCTAATAAAAGAGATAGTGGAGAATAATCTTAAACTCCTAGACACGGGAAAGGACTTCTAAACAGAACACCAATAGTACAGTCCCTAAAAGCAACAATTAATAAATGGAACCTCATGGAATTGAAAAGCATCTGTTTGGCAAAGGACACCATCACAAGGACAAAGTAACAACTTACAAAATAGGAAAAGATTTTTGCCAACTACACACACTATGAATGGATTATATGTTAAATAAGTAAAGAACTCAAAAAACTGGACATCAAGAAAGCAATGAACTCAGTTAAAATTGGGATATAGAACTAAACAGAGAATTCAGGAAAGTA